GGGGTTCCCCCCCAGGAGGGATGAGGCTGTGCGGAGGATGGGGTCTGCCTCCCCAGGGCCTTGCAGGGGTGAGGCTGTGCGGAGGATGGGGTTCCCCCCCAGGGCCTTGCAGGGGTGAGGCTGTGCGGAGGACGGGGTTCCCCCCCATGGCCTTGCAGGGGTGGGGCTGTGCGGAGGATGGGGTTCCCCCCCAGGGCCTTGCAGGGGTGAGGCTGTTCAGAGGGTGGAGTCTGCCCCCATCTCCTCTCAACCGGTCTTTCTGCCGTTTCACCCTGGCGTCTCCCTCCCACCCTGTCCTCTGCCCTCCTGGGCGTGGGCTCAGGGACCATGGCCAGCATGCTTGCTGGGGTGCTGATCTCCCCACCACCACCCAGACTTGAGGTCTGCCATGCCCACTGAGCTCCGGGTGGTCATGGGTGCTCTCAGCCTGTGGGGATGCTCTGTACATAGTCATGGGTGCTCTCAGCCTGTGGGGATGCTCTGTACATAGTCATGGGTGCTCTCAGCCTGTGGGGATGCTCTGTACATAGTCATGGGTGCTCTCAGCCTGTGGGGATGCTCTGTACATAGGCATGGGTGCTCTCAGCCTGTGGGGATGCTCTGTACATAGGCATGGGTGCTCTCAGCCTGTGGGGATGCTCTGTACATAGTCATGGGTGCTCTCAGCCTGTGGGGATGCTCTGTACATAATGCTCTACAGAAACCTCTGTGCCATCTCCACCTTTCGGTGGACTTGCGTGGGCAGCGCAACTCAGGGCCTCTCACCTGGTGTTTGGCTTGGTGCTGTAAATGCTTGGCCTTTTGCTGCACTGTACCAAGGTGCTTTTGGCCCTTTACAAGTTCTGAGTGTGGCTTTTGTGGACAGGAAGTGGAGATGGGCTTTCCCAACCTGTTCCCCAACGTTTTTAACCTTAAAGCCGCTTTTGGCATTAATAGATGTTTCTGGACTGGCCACATGGCCCTACCATCAAAAAGGAACAAGAAAGGTGCTTGCTTTCCATCTGAATGTCCTCTGAGAAAGTGTTTTTGTTTGCAAGGACTGGGAAGAGTTTGGACATTGTAGAACAACGCTCAGTTCACTAAGAGGGTTAAGGAATTGTCTGATGAGCTGGCAGTCTCGCTGCGGGAGGAGGCTAGAGGTTAGATAGCTTACAGGACATCTTCAGACAAAGGTTCTTACTTTGGTTGATGGGAGGGTAGATGGATGGTCGGATTCATTCGTTCGTTCAGGGCTCAGCACATACCTTGTACCAGGGTGCTTGGTTGGTGCAAAGAAGGGAACAGATGGCCGAGAGGGAGAATCCCCACATATGTAACGACAATACTCCAAGTAGAAGGGAATGTGTCCCCAAGAGAGGGCATGCCACTGTGGCCAGGAAGTCTACTTTTACTCGAGGCTTCCTTGTGGGGACAAATGAAAAGCCCGGATTATTAACCAGCTCGTGCCAGTGATCCCTCAGACCTCACAGCTGTGTGCAGTTTGGGTGTTTTCCTGTGTTGGCACCTGAGACTGAATGTCTTCTGCAGGGTTCCGTCATCCCTCTTCTCCCTCCTCCCCCACCCCACCGGTGCAGCTGTGCATTGGTCCCTGTCTCCAAGAGTGGCTCCAGGGCCCCCAGTCCCCCCTGTGAATGCCTGCCTCACTCTCACTCAGGACCTGTTGATTCTGCCTCTGGGACCTCACAAGGCCTCCGTCGCCCTTTTCCCAGGCCACGCACTAGCTTGATTTACCGCAGCTGTCCCCCAGCTGACGTCTCTGCCTGCCTGAAATTCGTGTTCCACTCCCGAGGCTGGGATAGACTTGCTGGGACTCAGATCTGGATGTAAGTGCTACTCTATCAACCCCTCAGTTCCCTTAGGATGGAAGCAGCTCCCCCTTCGTGGCTTTCTGACTGGGCCCTCCAAATTGCCCGCTCCGCTGCACTGTTTATTTAATTGTGGGTATCTCTTCTGTGCAGAGCCGTCTCCCCATGAAGCTAGTGACAAAATAAATGTTTAAAAGAGGATCTTTGGCTGGGTGTGCATACCAATGCTTGGAGGTGGAGGACCACAAGTTCTAGGACAGCCTGGACTACATAGGGAGAGCCTGTCTCAAAAACAAACAGCTGGGCACCAGGGACTCACATGGAACCCTAACTACTCTGGAGGCTGAGATCTGAGGATGGAGGTTCAAAGCCAGTCCTGCCAGAAAAGCCCTTGAGACTCTATCTCTCGTTAGCCACCAAAAAGCCAGTAGTGGAGGAGTGGTGCAAGTGGTAGAGCACCAGCCTTGAGTGAGAAGCTCAGGGAGAGCGCCCTGCCCCTGAGTTGAGGCCGCAGCTTGGGTGTATGTGCGCATGTGCACATGCACACATACACATACAAAGTAGAGCATCAGTCACCGAGCAGTCGTGTTCTTCCTTCCCTGTCCTTCAATGTGGGAGGAAGGGGAAGATGTGTATCTGCGCAAACATGGAAGAATGACAAGACCGACTTGGAAAAATCCAGGCAGGAAGCCGTTTGTGGCCGAGCAGCCTGCAGGGCGGCTGGCGTGGCTGAGCTGAGGAGAGAGCTGGGCGGCTGGGTTTCACTGGAAGGGAGGACGCTGCAGATTAGCAATGCCAAGCCTTACAGTATACCATATATAACAGCATCACCGTTCCCAGCTGAGCGGAGCACAAGGAACTACAGTGCTGAGGGATATAGAGGAAGGAAGGGAAGCCAGCTCCGGCCCCTGCCCGGGAGCTCAGTGACATTGATGGGGTGGGGACAGGGCTCTGCGTTGGGAGGGGTAAGGCTTGAACCTGTGTGCTTCTGTGGGTGGCAGGTTTGCTCCCCTACGCTCCTTTACTCGTCGCACGCCCCTGCTCTGTGCCTTTAGATCTGCACCCTCACCAATGGACCTGGTGGGGCTTGGTTATGCAGCCGTGGTGATACTGGAAAGCATTTGGAGTTACAGGCGGAAAGGTAAGCCTACACAGACGCCCATCAAAAGCACTTGGAGGGGAGAGGATGGGCCCCCTCCGAGGGTCATGCGGGGCTGTAAGGGAGCCGTCTCGTCACAGAGCTAGGGAACTGCTGGTGGGGACATGCGGGGGAGGGGTCCATGGAGGAAGCTGGTGACCCCGGGGCCTTGCATGGCAGTTGCAGTTAAGATGCCCAGCGGAGAGACACTTGAAGGTGCGTGTGCTGTGCTGGAAGCAATGGAATGGGTCTCTTCCCTCTGGGATTCTCTTTGAGAGACCGTTCTCTTTTTTTTCCTTTCTCCCCAGGCAGTGTTGTGTTTCTGATCGCGGGTCTTTCTTTTGGCCTTCTGTCTGTCTACGGAGCGTACCGCATCTCCAACGACCAGCGGGACGTGAAGCCGTCACTGTGTGAGTGAGGCATTGGTCCCGCCTCTTACTACTCCGCCGTAGGTTCACCAGGCAACGTGCTGCCAGCCGCTCGGGGGTTTTGTGCGTGTGTTGGGTGGAACAATGCTTGCTCCTTCTGGATCAGATTTGAAAAATTAGGGTACTACTATCAAGCCTTATAGCTCAGACTTCTTGTTATTGGAAAAGTTAGATTAAATTAGAAAAGGCAAATCTCTTAAGAATCATTCCTAGATTCTGTACTAACTCAAGTACATCTTTAGCACATTTAAAAAAAATCTGTGAAAAACTGAAAAAAGAGGCAGCCTTGAGTCACTCGATTCACACACAGCTTTGGCACTCTACTCTGCAGTAAGACTTGATTGAGAAAAGCACAGATGACCTAAGTTTAGCTTTTTGTCCATTAGGCTTCAGTATGCGAGTGTTCACAGGGGAGAAACAATATGTGTGGTAAGCTGGGCACCTGTGGCTCACACCTGTAATCCTAGCTACTCAGGAGGCTGAGCTGAGGTTTAAAGCCAGCCCACGCAGCAAAGTCCAGGAGCTCTCACCTCTAATTAACTACTCCAAAGAATCAGGAACTGGCGACATGGTTCAAGTGGTAGAGCACTAGTCTTGAGCACAAAAGCTCAGGGACAATGCCCGGGCCCTGAGTTCAGACCCCAAGATCTGCGCAAAAGGAATAAGAAAAAAAGTAGTAGATGTTGTTACTGCAGGTTTGTGGTCCCAAGGAGACTGACCGAGGAAACTGCTCAGTACTCAGCACGCACAGAGTCCAGGACTCTAAACTGACTCCGGTTTGCCTATACTGTATATACAGTAAATTGACGACCTGTAACTTGAAATTGCATGAAGCAGGCTACATTTTTTATATTCTTTATCTTGAATACAGTAGATGCTTCTTCCTCCCCTCCCCCTGGGTCCACCTTCCTCCCCAACATGGCTAAAGACAGGCCAGAAGGTTTTGCTCTATCACTTAAATGAAACTTCTTCACTTTTACTTTGGGGGCTTTTTTTTTTTGTCTTCTTTTTTGTTTGTGTGGTACTGGCGTGATCCATCAGCATCTGGCCAGAATAGTTGTAATAATGAGAGCCTTGAAGCCGTGTCCCATTTCTTAGCAGAAACTAGCCCTGCTCGTGGTTGGAAGGGGGGACCCTGACTCGGGGGTTGGTTTGGATTTCAGATGCAGCTTTTTTCCTGGCCACCTTGATGGGTACGAGGTTCAAGAGGTCCAAGAAGGTAAAGTCCGCCGGACTGCTTGCGGGTTTAAGGTGAGAACTATTTTGATTTAAACTTTCCTCTGCCACCATTTGGAAGTGCTGACAGTTGCCAGGCATTAGTTTTTTATTCCAAAGCTGGAAGTAATTTTCATTACTGCCAGCATGACCGTCAGCCCCAGACACCTTTATACTTTCATCTGTCTTTGATGTTGTGATGTTTTTTATTAGGTGTACTTTATTTGGGGCAGGGTGGGTACTGGGGTCTGAACTCAGGCCTATGCTTGCTGGGCTGGCACTCTGTTGTTTGAGCCAGGCTCCTGGCCTGTTTTTCACGGGTTCCTTTTAGGAGTTAGCCTGCCTGCCCTGGAGCACCCGGGCCACAGTCGGCCTACTCTCAGCTTTCTGTAGTTGCTGAGATCACAGGCCTGCACCAGCACACCCAGCTCTCTGTTACAGCACAGTCCTGTTCTCAGCCTGCCACATAGCTTGTGATACACCCAGCTGTGGAGGAAAAGGGAATCACATGAACTTTTCTGGCCAACTGGCCTCAAGCCATGATCCTCCTTTTCTCAGCCTCCCACATTGTTTGAGTGACAGGTGTGGGGCTGCACACCTGCACATCGGGCTCTGCCTGTGTCCGCGTGACCTCCTTTGTCTTTGTTTGATTTTACTTCAGCTTCTTGATGATCCTGAGACTTGTCCTACTGCTGTTGTGACACTCCAGAGGGGCTGAGGACTGTATCCTGTCAACCTCCTGCAGTGGGCAGAGCATATTCTCTGTACTTAAAAGATAAATGTGTTACCCGGGCGCTGGTGGCACACGCCTGTCATCCTGGCTACTCAGGAGGCTGAGATCTGAGGATCACAATTTGAAGCCAGCCCAGGCAGGAAAGTATGTGAGACTCTTCAGTTAACCACCAAAAAGTTGGAAGTGGAGCTATGGCCCAAGTGGTAGAGTGCTAGCCTTGGGCAGGAAAGCTCAGGGACAGAGCCCAGGCCCTTCGTTCAAGCTCCAAGACTGGCGTGCACGCGCATGCACGCACACACACACACACACACACACACACCACAGAGATAAATGTGTCAAGTGTCTTCTTTTATGTTAGAAATAAAAGCAACACTGTCATCTATCGTTTGAGGGTTTTTTTTTTAAAAGGAAAACCTTTGAACTTATCAGGCACTGTCTTCATTAAAGGTGTTGAATTGGAATATACTTTTATTTGCTGCATCTGTTTTTATATATGGGTTGTTTATTTTTTGAGCTACTCCAAATACTTATGAATTAAGTTTCAACTGAACTATAACATGTCAGAGAAGGGAATTCCTTAAGTGTAACTATTTGTCTTGGGAAGTGTTACTTGCTTTGTTGCTGGTGTTATCCAAAAGAATTCCATTCTCAGAACAATCATGGGTCCTGACAATGTATTCAGTATCCAAATAAAACATTGTGTTTAAACCTGTTGCTTTCCTGTGCAGTCCTCTGACGTTTATGTTCAATTAGTCATGAGAAGGTATAAGGAGCGATACTCAAGCCAGCATCTGCACCTCCCCTGGCACAGATAATCATCTCCATCTTGAGAATCCCTTGGATGTGTCTGCTTGAGCTGGCTTTGACCCTTGATCCTCAGATCTCAGCTCCTGAGTAGCCAGGATTATAGATGTGAACCACCAGTGCCTGGCTTTTCACCATGTTTTTAATCTGAAAGGGAAGGAAAAAAAATCCCAAGAGAAGGCTGAGGCCAAAAGACAGAGCACAGACAGGGATTTCCCGTGCAGGTCAAGCTGCGTACAGGGTTAAGGAGAAGAAGAGTCTGTCCTTTCTCCTTTTTTCTTACAGTTGGGACAAAAGACAACACTTGCTGTAATAACCTAAGTGGAGTATCTAAGAAATTTCTTGGAAAGAAGGGAAGTGGGTGAGCAGAGGAGCTGAAACACCAGCCAGGTGTGGGTGGGGTGTTGCTTTTAATAGCAGAGCGCATACCTGTGATGCCTGCGGCTGGCGGCTGGGAATGCTGCCCAGAACACCTGTGACTGGGCTCAGCCTCCACTTAAGAAAGAAAGAGCGCTAGCAAGAAGGGCAAAGGGGCAATACTGGTGCTTTTTCAAGTATTTTTTGGAAAGTTATTCCAGCTAGGAAATGGTTAATAGTGTTGGCTTTTCACCTTACGTTTTTGATTAGTAAAGTTTTAAGGCCAGGAGCCACTGGACGAGCCAGGGTGGTCCAAGGCACCCCATCCGTGTTGAAGGGCTGTGGCCAAAGTACAACGGATTGTTTCTCTATTGTTTCCTTTTACAAAAGTATCTCTATAGCTGGAGCTTTCCGGAGACCTGTTTTCTTCTCTCTCTTCCTAGAGGTTTCCTTGGAGGCCAGGCACAGCAGCGTGTGCCTGTAATCACAACTGCTTGAGGCAGAGAGCAGAAGGATTCTCATTCTGTACAAGCCTGGGCAAAAAGTTCGTAAGATTCCTGTCACAATCAAAAAGTTGAGCACAGTGGCACACAGCCATGCTTCCAGCTCCATGGAAGGCCATAGGCAGATGCCAGTCCCAGCCAGCCTTGGGAGGAACAAAAACAACAGCCGGATGCTGGGGGCTCACACCTGTCATCCTAGCTACTCAGGAGGCTGAGATCTGAGGATCGCGGTTCAAAGCCAGCCCAGACAGGAAAGACCTGAGACTCTTATCCCCAATAAACCACCAGAAAACCGGAAGTGGCGCTGTAGCTCAAGTGGCAGAGTGCTCGCCTTGAGCTGAAGAGCTGAGGGACAGCGCCCAGGCCCAGAGTTCAAGCCCCACAACCGACAAACAAAAAAATGGTGGAATGTTGGCTCAAGTGGTAGAGCTCTAGCTCTAGCACTCAAGGCCTAGCATGTGCAAGGCCTTGAGTTCAGATACCTGCACTATGAAAGAAGGTAAGGAAGGAAGGAAAGAAAGAAGGGACAGAGGGAAGGAGAGAAGAAAGGAGGGAAAAAGAGAGAGGCTTCTTAAATGCCTAACTCAATGATGCCCCAATTTCTCCTCATTGGCATGGAGCCAGAATAGATAGATGAAAAGAAAGAAATTATATTTAAAATATATATATAGCTGGGCGCTGGTGGCTCATGCCTGTAATACTTGCTACTCAGGAGGTTAAGATCTGAGGATGACAGTTCAAAGCCAGCCCAGGCAGGAAAGTCTGTAAGACTCCATTTAACCACCAGAAAACTGGAAGTGGTTCTGTGACTAGAGTACTTGCCTTGAGCTGAAGAGCTCAGGGTCAGTGCCCAGGCCCAGAGTTCAAGCCCGAAAACTGACCAAAAGAAAAAAATATATATCATATATATCATATATATTATAATATATATCATATATTATATATGATATATATCATATATATTATGATATATATTATATGATTATATATAATATCATATAATATATATATATAAAATCTCAAAAGGGCCAGACTCAGAAGTTAAAAACCAGGAAGTAGACTGTAAAAGCTGGTAAGCTCCCTCCCACTTCCTTAATAATACTAAGTTACAGGATTTAGAAGTATTGGAAGGGCTATCTAAATATGCTTCTTTTTAAATGGTAACTATCTGGAAACTTCAAGGATGGGTAGAGATAGAAAAAGTGTAAGTCAGGTGTAGCAAAAGGAAGTCCAGAGGTAACTTGTGTTTGACTTACCCATGCCAAACTCCTGTCTAACAATTAGGAGTCACTAGACTAGCCAGACCTGGAGTAAGACTGCATCCACCAGTCCAGAAGGCATAAAAGCCACAGATAGGCACTGCCATTTTGAGTCTTACTACTGTTTCCTGAATGGGAAACAGAAAAATATCTCCCTCTCTCCCTATTTTACCCTGTTCTACTAAAATCCTTGCTAAAACTTGCACTCCTGTTGTGTGAGAAAGATGCTTTTCGAGAGTGGGTCTCAAGGAATTTGCGTGGATGAGGGAACCCCTTGGGCATCCTCTGGGGACAGGAGTGCAAGGGAAAGTTAGTGGTGTCCTGTTTGTGGTTCCGGAGGCTTCCCCGTGACACGCAAGGTGGGCTCAGTGTCCCGGGTTTGAATTGTGATGCTGTCGCCTACCATCGCTCTGTTCCCACAGCGTACTTGGTGTTTAGGCAGACAGACAAGGTCAGAAGGAGAGAGATGCTTTCTTTTTTTCCTTTTCACTAAATGTTGCCGCTTCTCGAGGGGGTGTAAGGCTTAAAGCAAAGAAAACAGGGCCTGTGTACTTCTAAGCAAGCTACTCATCAATACAGTGATTTCCTCTGAATTCCTGGTCCTGTTCTTCATGCCTCCTTTTCTCTGAATTATCCTACCTTATTACTGTTCGTTCATTTGGAACATTTTTAAAAGAAGACCAGGCCTACTGGTATACATTTTATAATCCCAGCACTGAAGAAGCAGAGATAGAAGGATCATGAGTTCAAGGCTAGCCTCAGCTTCCTGGCAATGTCCTATTGAGAGAGAGAGAAAAGGAGGGGGGAGGAGGGGAGAGAGGAGAGGTGGTCACCTAAGACAGTCCACGGTGACTGGAAACTGGGCAATATAGTACCATTATTTAGAATGTACAGAGAGTTAGACTTTTGTTATCAGAACTGAGTTTTTCAGTTGCCAGAAGTTTTCACCCAGATCCTATACCAGCACTTGGGAAGGTTTTTGTAATGGTGAGCCAGGGACTAGAACAGCAGGGGAACCGACAGGCCTGGAGAGCCTGTCCAGCCTCTATGCTCAGGGCCCCATGGTCCTTCTCTAAGGTAAGATACAGTAGTATTCAGGGGAGATGCAGTTCGGGCAGCATCAGGAAGGAGCCAGCTGGGTGGAAGAAGGCCTTCTCTTTGCTGATCACGTAAGATTTATGGAACAGGGGAGGCCTTTGGAGAGAGGCTATCCCGGTTCTTCAGGAAGAACTGGAGAGATGGTGTTAGTCGGATAGCCTAGACTGTGATGCACTAATACACTCAGAAAGCTCAGTAGTTCAACACAAGGAAAAATCCATCGCACATTGTGCCAGCTCCTTCCTGGACATTGCTAGTCGGGCATCTCCTGACTCCGCGCCTTGGCTACCTTGGTTCCTGCCTTGCCTCGTGGCCTTTCCGCACGTGGCCTCTCAGATCAGTGTGGAGAGACAGACCCTTCAGAAAATGCTCTCTGGATACCAGAGACCTTCAAGCTGAGTGTGCACCCACAGCCACAGCCTAGTGCAAAGCAGTCTCGGGCAGACGGGACCACACTGACATCAGTGCATCCCAATCGTTTCTTCCCCACAAACCCAAAGCGAATGAACAGGGTGCCGTGACTGCACTCTTCCGTCAGCACTGACTGCTGAGATCAGACTTCCAGTGGTGGCTGACCTGTAGGGTGAAAGGTAGCTTGTGCTAGTATCTGGAACCTTCTGTGACCCGGTCATGACATTCTATCGTCCTTTTCTACCAAACTCTGCCTGAGAAGCAAGTAAGCCAAGCAGTCGGTGCCGCTGTGCTCATCCGGCCTGGGATCCTCGCTCGTGAGCCTTCCAGGATGAAAAACAATCAAGTGAACCGAGAATGGCAAAGCTGTGTGCCCCAGCCCCTCCTGGAGTCGCTCAGACTTAGAGTTCCCACCCCCCAGCGGCTGGACGGCATGCTGGTCCTCCCGAGAGCCTGCCGTCCATGCTCCCCCTGGACAGCCTGCGTCCGTTCACCAGCCGAGCAGGTGTGAACGGCGGGCTCTGTTCTGTCTGCCTCTCCAGAGCTAAGTGGCCCTGACCTGTGACTGCAGCCGCGCTTGCCTGCCGAGGCCCATGTGAAAGAGGCTCCGGCTCATCTTTTCCATGCTGGCCTCTGGTTCTGACAGGGACCCCGGGACTCAATGGGGCCTCTGTGTGTGTGAGCAAGGAAGGGCTGGTGA